GGATTAATAGAGAGATCCATAGAAGTAGGAATCAACAGATGTAGGAATCTGTGTTGATAAGAACTAAAAAAGAATTGCTGAAGAAGGGCCAAGATATCTGGGTAGATGCTTGGGGATGACTGTAAAAGGTACAAAATAGAAGGCAAAGTTAGCACTGCTGTACAGAGACAAGATGATGCAGTGACCAAGAATCTTTGTTTTGTTTCCAAGATGGCAGAAGTGTTAGGATTAAAAGTGTCAAGTGATTACCCAAAGGTAGAGAAACAGGAAGCAATATATTAGAAATTATTAGTAATCTTTTCTTAATCAAATAAGAGAAAACATGATCGGTGGTTGTCTTTTTTTTTTTTTTTTGAAATGGAGTCTTCCTCCATTGCACAGGCTGGAGTGCAGTGGCATGATCTCAGCTCACTGCAACCTCCACCTCCTGGGTTCAAGCTATTCTCCTGCCTCAGACTCCTAAGCAGCTGGCACTACAGGTGTGCGCCACCACGCCTGGCTAGTTTATGTATTTTTAGTAGTGATGGGGTTTCACCATATTGGCCATGTTGTTTGTCTATTTTAGTCACCTGCACATGGTTGGATATTGGCCATGGTAATTGTTTTACAGCCGTGACTTTTTCTGTCTCCTTTTCAGAATTTATGTCTCCATTTACCCATGAATAGTATCTCCAGAGTATGGCATTAGCTCAGTTCTCTTCTCACTTTATTTAGTCTTCTCAAGTGCTTCAACTATCACATGAATGCACCCAATTCTCTGTCTTTAGCTCTGATTTTTCTGCTAAGCTCCAGACTCATAATCATGTGACCACTACCTGCTAGTCACTGCCACCCGCCAGCTAGATGTCTCAGAGACATCAGCAAGGAACTTAACACGGCATTGCCTAGCCCATTACTTACTCGCGAAACCTGCTTCTCCTCTGTTACTTCATACCTTGGTTAATAGCACCCTGCCATCCTTTCATGAAAACCAGAAATCTGGAAACCACTAGAGACTCAGAGTAAGACATTGCATAGCTTTGCCCTCGAGAAATAGGCTGTCTTCTAGGATACATATCTCTCTCTCCTTACAACCAACAGTAATTTCTCCTTGTCACTCTTACGAAACTTAGAAGTTTACATTTTGATAAGAACAGAAATTCTTCGTATTTACGAACTTATTTTTATTAAGTTATGAGGTTATTTGGGACTGCACAGCTCTGGGCATACATTTTATTCATTATGGTGTTCCCTCCTCCCCCGCCCCTGGCATATTACATTGGTCACAGCTCATCTTCAGCTAGCATACAGGTGTTCCTCAACTTATGATGAAAGTTACATGCCAGTAAACCTATCATAAGTCAAAAATGTGGTTAAGTCAAAAATACATTTAATGCTAGCAACACAGCAGACGGTCCCCAACTTATGATGGTTTTATTTATGATTTTTTGACTTTATGATAATGTAAAAGTGATAAAAATTCAGTAAAACCATAGCCCTATCACAAATCATAAGAAGTTACTTGACATACCATGAGGTTTTATCCCAATAAACCCATGATCAAGTTGAAAAATCTTAAGTCAAACCATCGTAAATTGAGGACCATCTGTAGTCATGAATGAATGACTAAAAAAAGTAAAGAAGTGAAAAATAATATTGAAACAGGTATAAATAAACAGGAATACATGAGAGAGCTATGATTTCCAGCTGGAGGCAAGGAACAATTAATAAAGATGGTACAATTTAGTCTGTTCTAAAGGGAGAAGGATGTTCCAGGCAGAGGAAATGCATGAGGAAAAAGGAGAGGAGAAAATGGCAGGATGTGTATGGGAATTAAACTAAAAAATCAAATAAGGTTCGAGATTAAAACCTTGACTGCAGGGTAAATAAACACATGTTTTTTAACTGGAAGGTATATTACACTTATTGATGTAAAACTGTTGATATTTTTAAACCCTCTTTTAGGTTTTTTACTATGAAAAATTACAATCAGAGAGAGAACAATGAGTTCCTGTATCTTTACTAGCCTCAACAAGTATTAATTGAGACTATGTCTTATTTCATGTAGAGCTATTCACTGCAACCCAAGATTATTTTGAAGCAAATCACAGACATCATATAATTTTATTTCTAAACAATATTTGAGTATCTCCAAAAAATAAGACTCTTTCTGCAAGCATAACTACAGTACCATTATCATGTTTAAAAAGTAATAATTTATTAGTAACATTAGTATTGCATGTTCGAAATTCCCTGATCTTTTCATAATTTGCTTTATAGTTTTTTTCAAATGAAAAAGATCCAACTAAAATTGATTCATTGCAGTTGGTTGTTAAATCTCTTAAATCAGTCTCTGTATCTCTTTCTCTTCCTCACTCCTTTTCTACCTTCCTTCCCTGCCTCCCTCCATCCCTGTTAGTCATTTTATTGTAAAATAAAGCACATACAAAAAAAAAAAAAAAATGCAAAACACATCTAAGAGTTAATGAGTTGTTATAAAGCAAAGGCCTTTGCTTCACTCAGGTCCAGGAACTTTGCCAGTCCCTCTTGAAGGCCTTCTTCATGGCCCACGTCAATCACACCTCCTTTACTACCCTCCAAAGTAGTCACTATCTATACTTTTATAGTTAAATCACTTCCTTGTTTTTATTTATACACTTTTCACCTATATGTGCCTGGTTAGATGCTACAGTGCTATCTACTTTTTAAATGTCTTATATGTTTCTTTTAATCTATACAGTCCCTCTTCATGACATTTCTTTTCTTACAATTTATCTTTTGAAAAACCCAGCACATCTGGCCCATAGAGTTTCACATAGTCTAGATTTTATTGATGATATATTCATGCTGCAGTTCCATATATTTCTGTTATTTATACATCTCCTGCAAAATGATAGTAGGATCCAAAGGCTTAACTGGACTCAGGTTTAATTAGTTGGTAATATGAATCAATACGTAATATTTTCTTCTTTTATCAGAAGAAACATGTCTGATGGTTTTTCGTCTTGTGATGTTAGCAGTCATTGATGCTTAGATGCCTACATTTATTAATCTATTGAGAGTTGCAAGGTGATGATAATTCTAATTGTATCATTAAAATTTCATTTATTATTAGAAACACTTTACAAAACACACCTCTCTATAATACTTCATTACCCAATGTTACATGTCCTCTAGGAAAACCAGAATGAATACTTGATTATTTGCCTTTACCAGTTTTTAAGATAATAAACTGATTTCCTATCATCATCCAAATTTTGTGAAATGTCATTATAAACTTACAAATTTAAACTGACTTCATAGGATTTAAACCATTAAAATTAGGTTCAAATTATTTTGGTTAAAATTGTTCATCTTTGGCCAACAGAAGACTCTTCAAGTTGACTCCCAAATTGTATCATTAACAACTTAAGCAGAGACAGAATTTAAAATTTTCAGCTTTTGAAATTTATAACAAACTGTTTGTAGGATTTTTTATTTCTCTCCAGAGTTCTGCCAACTTTTGCTGCATATTTTTGAAGTATTGTTATTAAGCACATGAGTTTTTGTTATTTTTATGTTTCCCTGATAAAGTGATCCTTTTATTATTATGAAATGTCATCTTTATCTCTGGTATTCCTGTCTACTTTATCTGATATTCTTACGGCCATTCTAATTTACTTATTGTATTTGTCACTTTTTTATTTTAATTTTTTCTCCCTTTCACTTTCTATTGATCTTAAGGTATTATCTATTGTCTTTTTTTTTTTTTTTTCTGTGATCTTTCTCTTAGATTAGCTTCATTTCTAAAATGATTTATTTTCTAAGTTTGTATGGAGTTACATAATATATATACTTTTTAGATGTTTCTAATTCTTATTATTCGTTCACATCTTGTATCATTTTAAAATGTCATTTAGCTCACTTAGGAAATAGTAGTTTTTTTCTAAATTTTAAAATATAAAAGGATTTTCTAACTTCAGCAAGCTATCTTTTCAAAACGATGGTGTCTTGGTCATAAGATGTCCTGGCTTCGTTCTCCTGCTCCATTTTTAGCCAGTCCTTCTTTTTCCTTCCTATATATTGTCCTCATCCGGTTTACTTTTGATTCTACTCTCAGTAGCTTCTCCTCAACGTGGCGGGTCATATTTCAGAGCTGTGAGGAACTACAACTTCTTCCACCCCTTCAGAGCTTCTTGTTACAGGTCTCTTGCACGGTCCTCTATTAGAGAGCAAAACCTCTCCCAATTTTAGCTCCTGTTCTCAAGTTGGTTCATCACACTTTCCAGTGAGCACCTGTTGGCTCTTTTGGTGTTCTCCTGTTGTCAAGTCTGACAGACACCACATTACTTCCATCTGCTTCCTTCCGCACAAACACTGATCCCATATGGGCTTAGGCTGTTGGTGGCTTGTCTCAGTTAACTTTATCAAAAGTGGTTCTTGTGGATAACCTGTCACTGAGTTATGCTGTAAATTCTGTCCGTGGGGTTTTGGCTTTAGTGTATGTGGAGACTTGAAGCAATATGAAGGCTATGTTGCTGCTACAAGCGCTACCTTCCAACACTTTTATATTTTGACAAAACATTTTCCAAATCCCTCAGATGTGGAAGAGACCATAGATGGACAGTGCTCACAAATGAGGGCAAAGAAAAAAACACACAGAAATAATAAAATGCAGTACTGATTAATCAAGGAATTGAATTTCACCACATGAATTAACAGCTTATGACTTCACTAAGCAGGAACTAGAAGCGGGCGGCATTTCTTAAAATGCATTTCACATGAAGTTAACAGAAATAAGGTAGTTTTGGTATTCTAGTTAGAGTTATTTCAGAAATAGTGAGCTGAGACAAAGTACTGTGCACCACTTCCTTTAAAATGGTACAAAATGAGGACGTGGTGAAATATTTCCATAAAGTTACTATGGAATAAATCAGATAATCTGAAGAGAAATACCTTTGCTTATACATATAACTCAGCAAATAAGTATTATCATTTTATAAGTTATTAGAGAGAATAAAATGTAGTCTAATTTTCCTTACCATATACCAAGTGATGGTCGGTTTGACACTGGAAGGAAAATATCCATCTACATTTGGACAAGTGATCTTCTGAATGCCATATTCTATATACAATTTATGCACTGGGAGTTTCATGGGGGAATTGAAACAGCTGTCTTTTTGAACAACTTCCAAGGGAAATGCAACTTTGCTGCAATATGTGGTGTTCCTGAAAAAAGAAACATATAATGAATGGGTAGTATTTGCATTCGATTTCATAGAGCAACCACATTCAAATGAACTAAGTGAAGCCATGCTACATACTGAGACATCATTTATATATGTAAGTTCATGTAAGAGATAAAATGGCAGTGGAGGCATTTCCTATACCAATTGGCATCACAGAATTTTTAAAAAGCACAATTAATTAATTAATTACTATTAATGTACCAAAGTATTTATGCTTTCAGATGTGGTCCTAAATGTGTGTTTGTCAGTGTATATAAATAGTCATGTGTCACACGATGACATTTTAGTTAATGAAGGCTCACACATGTGATGGTGGTTTCATAAAATTATAATGGAGTTCAAGAATTTCTATTATTTATTGATGTCATCGTCATTGTAATGTCATAGGGCAACATATTATTCATGTTTTGGGTGATGCTGGTATAAACAAACCTATGCAGTATCAGACAAATAAAAGTGTATAGTAATGTCCTAGGCTTTCACATTCACTCACTACTCACTCACCTACTCTCCCAGAGCAACTTCCAGTCCTACAAGCTCTATTCATGATAAGTGCTCTACACGGGTGTACCATTTCTTTCATCTTTTATATTATATTTTAACTGTGTCTTTTCTATATTTTGATAGCTTAAGTACACAAATCCTTATCAGTGTGTTATAATTGCCTATAGTATTCAGTACCGCAACCTGCTATACAGGTTAGTAACCTAGGAGTAACAGACTATACCATATAGCCTAGGTGTGTAGTAGGCTCTCCCATCCAGGTTCATGTAACTACACTCTATGATGGTCACACAATGACTAAAGTTACCTAACAAAACATTTCTCAGAACATACCCCCTGTTCTGCTGTTCAACATAGCAAAATATAACTGTGCATATATGTAACACTAAAAACATTCTCAATAATACTCAGTGCTGGTAAGGCAGAGCTATGAATGGCATATTTATGCAGAGTCAATAATGGTATAAGCAACTTTGGGAAAAACTATGCTTCCGGGATCATAAAAAAGCCTTTGTTTTTGCCCTAGTAATCCTATGTCTGGATATTTTGTCACATGATAGAATGACAGAAAAGGGGGAATAGAGACAGCACAGAGTTAAAAATGCCCATCCAGAGCCATATCAGCAAGAAAAACATTAAAATCAATGGGAAAAATGTGACAAATGGAATATTACAGAGAAAACTGTGGTACAACCATTCAAAGTTGTTGTGAGAACGTATACAAAGAATCAGGCAGGAAGGAAAAAAAAAAACACATAACAATTCCTTAGGACGACTGGGGAATTGCATTTGTGCTATGATGTTCACGTACGTTGTTTTGTCTGCTTGGAGGGCTTACTTCTCCCACCCCCTTCATTTCACATACAGGCCTTCTCTGTTATCTTCTCCCACCTCATATCTAAATTTGGTCTGTCATTTATTGAGCACCTTGGACATTTCCTTGGTTAAATTTGTTATAGTTCAAAATTAGATGGTTATGTTACAGATATGTGTCAATATCCTCTGTAAAATATAAGTCCCACAACACCATTTATGTTTTTCATTACATTAATTGCATCTAGTACAGTGTCTTAACTTTCAGTAACTGCTGAACAAATATTTGTTATTAAATAAATGGAATGGATGTAAAACTTGTGTCTAAATATAGGTAAACATGAAAAATAACATAGAATAATAAATCAACTAATTTTTCAGGGTGATGGGATAAGGAGTCTATGTCTAGCCATTTTTGTGATTTTTTCTATAAATAATATTTGTGAGGCATCACATGACACATATTTGGCTTATTGGGTACCAAAATGACTTATGAATAAAGACTACATTTAGTGGAAAGGGTGGGGCATGCATTCTCAAAGATGGAGGGAGGGGTGTTAAAGATGACTTGTGACAATACTCAGAAGGGGGTAAGAGGGAGTGGTAGGCATGATCCATATCTACAAATAACAAAACATCTGCCCCTTGGAAGACAGACTCTATAGGTGGAAGTTATAGAAGGGAAATTTAAGTTTAAGGATCTATTTTCTGATTTTAAAAAATATAAAGAACAGTGATTAGACTGACTTTTTAGCTCCCAAAGTTGAACAGTATTGGGGCAAGAATATAAACAAAATACTCAAAGATGAAACTAACTTCATGGCCTTAAAGACAGTCGGCCCTATGGTTCTACATGCTTCAGTTTAAGGTCATTCTCTGCTTAGACATTTCCTCAGTAAAATAGGAAACATGGTAGTGCTCCCACCAGACAACTTCAATTCTAGATTTGCTTTAAGAATATGGAAGACAGAGAAGTAAACTGAAGAGGTGACAATCTGGAAGTTGATAAGTAACACTAAAGGTATATACAGGTCTTAACCGTCATGCAGCCCTACTCCTACAATGTAAAAGAAGATTAGAGAAGTTTGTGGAAGAGCTACAGGCAAGTAGTAAGTAATTAAGGAAAAAGTAAAACTGATACTGAAACACTAAGATATACAGTGGAGACCACAGTTAAACAGAAAGCTCCTGAAGACTTCCTCCCACTGGAAAATGTTAACAGATGAACAGCTATCAAAGATAAAAAGGAGCTCAACAAGCATGTATGCCAACTCTCTTCCTATGTAGATGTAGATACCACAGCTCTCAGACACGGACAGGACTTGCCTAAGGTCACCAGCTAAGTAGTGGCAGAGTGGAAGTGATGGCCTAGTTTCTCTGTCTTCTCCTAATGCTCTTTCCACTATAATCTGCTTTAACTTCTACTACATTGTATTAGAACATAAATAATAAGAACATGAGTACTTCAGGATCCTTGGAAACCCATATACCAGTCTAAAGCCCACTCCAATAAGATTCAAGTTTCCAGTGAAAACCTCAGAAGGGCCTTCAGAGGTTACAGGGATTCTCCCTTACCTCCAACTCCCAAGAACATAGTGATCTAAAGGCTTTTCTGTGATAGAAAAGAGGTCCTTTTTCACATAATCATAACATAGCTTACATTTACCAAAGCATAGTCAAAGCATAGTCATAGTTTTCCATCAGGGAGTAGTTACTCTCCATGAGAGAAAAAACATTTGTGATTATTTATTGTTACGGACTGAATTGTGTCACCCCACCACAATTTACATGCTAAAGTCCTACCTCACAGTACATTAGAATGTGACTGTATTTGAAAACAGAAAATTTGAAGACATAATTGAGCTAAAATGAAGTCACAAGGATGGTCTCTAATCCCATACTATTAGCATCCTTATCAGAAGAAGAGATTAAGACACAAACACACAGAGGAAAGACCATGTAAAGACAAGGAGAGAAGATGGCCATATACAAGGAGAGAGGCACCAAGAATGAAATCAACCCTGCCGACACCTTGATCTTGGACTTCTAGCCTCCAGAACTGTGAGAAGGTAATTTTGTTTGTTAAAGTCACCCAGTCTGTGGTATTTTGTCATTGCAGTCCTAGCAAAGCAACACACCTGTTAAATAGTAGGAAGTCGTTCAAAGAAAAAAAAAATAATAACCTAGATAGGAGTTTAGAAAACAAAGCCATGCCTGGCAGCTAAAAAGTGACCGTGGGTTAAAAAGTAACCAAATAATTAACCCTGAAAAGGGCTATTCTGTGGAGAAAAACCCTGAAAAGGGCTATTCTGTTCTGTGGAGAAGCCTCAGTTTTTTTTTTTCCCCCAAAAACAACATTAATGCAAAAAAAAAAAAATACTGTAGAGTAAAATATAAAATTTACAAAACTTTCAAAGGAAAAAAAGTGGATTGGAAAGAAATTTTACTGTAATGATAAATTGTTTGGATTAATCCTTAGATTGCCAGAGATAATGGTATTCTCTTGCTTCTCAGGAGAAATTTGGGAGAAGTTTAAAAAGCATTGTCATACATACATGTCATGGCTCCCAAAAGAACATTTGGGAGAATATTATGACAGAGAAAATTCTAAGGAGGGAATTGTAACTGAAAAGGCAAACCTGGGGCAAATGGGAGAGAGGACTCTCAGTTCACTCTAGGTCTTCTGATTTGGGGGTTAGATCTGCAGTGTCCAATAGAAATGATACTGCGAACCACATATGTAATTGTAGACATTTCGGTTGCCACACTAAAAAAGTAAAATAATATTTGGGAGGCATCGCATCACACATATTTGGGAGGCATTGTGCATCACACAATGCACCCTGAGTTTCTCTTTTGTGCTGGGTACTTTGAAAGATGCCAAGAATAACAGATACAAATGGGCTCTATTCCCTTCCCTGTTCAATGTCTGGATAAATGGATGTCTCCAGGTGAGGCACAAAGGCATGCAGGTACCGATGTCATGAGAAGGGATTAATAACAAGGTTCCACTTTTACACAACTTTGATATGTCTCAGGGTCTGGGAAGAAACTACCTCTGGAGAACATTCTAAGGGCCACAACCAATTTCTCTGCATACCTCCTTCAGCCCCCTTCAGCTAAGCTGCAGAGAATTACCTCACTAAACTCCATCTAAATGCTTCCGACTTCTCCCCAGCTTCCTAGCACATGGATCATCTGGACAAAAGCCCAGAAACTAAAGGGAAAAGAGAAAGTCACTGCCAAGAATCAAGCTACCTTAACATGCAGGTATAGTTGCCAGTGTCATTGAGGAGAGTGGGCCGGAACCACAGCACATCTTTCTCCTTACTAATGCGGTTCTCAGGGAGGCGGAAGTTAATCGGCTCCTCAAGGTCCCGGTCCTGCCTAGTCCAATACCAGATCAGAGTAAGGCCAGCTGAATGGGCTGTGCTGTAGTTAAATTTCAAGAAGTGTTCAAAGAGCGGACACTTGATGCGAGCTGGCTCATCTTCAAACACTTGGATTTGCCTCATGGTATCTAGTCCCCAGTCATCGCAGCGTTCTGGAATAATCAAAAAGAAAGAAAGGGCAGATGAGTCATTTTACAATAAAGGCCTCGAAAGAACACACCTTCTCCTCAGGGCACCCCGTCTTTTCCAGAACCTCTTTCTCTGGTCATCTTCCAGCCTCCCTCTAATAACTGCATACAGTAGGCACCTTTGGTGTGAAGAAATTGCTGTTCCCCATTGCTTTTTATTTTCTGAGTATCTCTTGGATAATGATTTGATCTGATAGCTTGACCCTGTTAAGCCCTGCAAGGTATGGGAGAAAGTTTCACCTAAAAAAGACATCCTGTGTTTTTTCACTTTGTGGAACAGAGAATGGTTTAAGGAGGAAATTGGAACTGAAAAGATAACCCTTGGGCAAATGGGAGAGAGGACTCCCAGTTTGCTCTAGGTCTTCTGATTTTTGGGCTAGGTCTGCACTGTCCAGTAGAAATCAGAATGCAACACACAAAGTAATTTTAGACATTTCAGTTGCCACACTAAAAAAGTAAAACAAAACAGATGAAATTAATTTTAATATTTTGTTAAACCCAATATATCCAAAATATCAAAAAATGAGCTAATTTACACGTACATTCTTTTTCTGTGGTATGTCTTCAAAATTCAACGGATTTTACACTCACATCTCAATCTGGGCTAGCCACATATGTCTTACTCTCTACTCTACTGGACAGCAGGACAGCAGACCTCAAGAAATCAAGAGATCTCTGTAATACCCATTGTTGGAATACTCATTCAGGACTAAAGGTGCTACAGTTTCAATGACAGAGTCAAATAAAAAAGCAGTTTAGTTCTGCAAGGTCACTCAGTTCTTTAAATTCCTTCTGAGCTGTATACCCATTTTATATTTTTATCATCAAACATTATTTTTAACGATCACTTGAAAACTCTGGAATACAGAGTCTACAAAAACAGCCCTAGTTTTCTCTTTCCCCTGTATCCACATCCTCTGCAATTTGAAACTGTGAATTTTCCAATCAAGAGTCTATCTTACCACTCCTCGAATCTGCGCTGTCCTTGTGACTAATGGCTTGTATAATTTATCCTTTATAATGAAAAATAATCACTCATCTACTCAGGGGAAAAAAAAAAAAAGATTTAAAGAATTTTTTTCTTTATTTTAAGAAAATAAGAAAATATTTATTTTCTTAAGAGTGATATCTGAATGGAGGGCTCTAGAAGTCACCAGATGAAAGGTGAATAGAGGTCAGGGTGATGGAGTCCTGTGGGCCACAAAACCATCACCTTAAAGTAGTTTTTTCCTCATGTCCCTAACATATGCACATACTCACATTTATGTATATATTTTTTAACTCTGTAATCTTCCCGACATTTCCATTGACATCTAAAACTTTTCATGCTAAGTATAATTGGAAAGGATATATGTAGTGTCATAAGTAATGCCATTTTGAAAGAAAAGAGTTACATCATTCTTTTAATTACATCCAATGGAATAGTGATTTGTCATACACCAATATCCAACCTAAAAACATGTTAAAAAGCTTTCTTTTAATCATTATAAATTCCATAGTTTCTTTTTTTCTTGAACTTAACATTAATTCCACTATCTCCACGTGTAAATTTACTTTAATGGAATATATTCTTATGTTTGATAGTTTATTTTTTATTTTTCATCATTTTATTCTTTTGTGTAATATGTAAAGTGCTAAATGTTAAAAGATTTTTTGAAATGTCTTATACATTTAAATAATATGTTTCATTTTATAAGTAAGTATTGATTATAAAATGTAAAGGTTGTATTGGAAATCATTTCTCAGTAATATAGAAGGACTATTTTTGAATGGGCGTTTTTGGGTACTAGTTAAAAACTGTTTGCTTACATGTAAGAACTGGGAAAATTTGTTTATAGTAAGGGACTAAAGGAGCTTAGTTCTACAAGGTCACTCAATTCTTGAAATTCTTTCTGAGCTGTATACCCACTTTATATTTTTATCATCGAACATTATTTTTAATGATCACTTGAAAACTCTGGAATACAGAGTCTGCAAAAACAGTGCTAGTTTTCCCTTCCCCCTGTATCCACATCCTCTGCAACTTGAAACTGTGAGTTTTCCAATCAAGATTCTATCTTACCACCCCTCGAATCTGGGCTGTCCTTGTGAGTTATACTGGCAAACAAAATGCAGCAAAAGTGATTGTGTGGTGTGTGACAATCTAAGTCTAAGACTTAAAAGGTTTTGCTTTTTCTCTTGGAACTTATTGTCACCATGAGAACAAGTCCAGGAAAGCATATTAATAAATAAGAGACCACACAGAGGACAGCTGAGACACCCCTGCTGGCAGCTGGCCCACCTCCAGAAGTATGGCAATCTGGCTTTCCACAGCTGACCAAAGGGACAAGAGTAAGCCCGGCCTAGATGAGCTGAGCCACACCAGATACAGACTCAGAAGCAAAAACACAAGTGAAATAAATAAAATGAAGTTTGGTCATTGAAATGTGTGCTCCTTTTTTGTAGCAGTGGATAACTGGCAAAACAACTCACTTGCCATTATTCTAATACTGATAAAAGCAAAGAATCCGAAGCTTTCTGACTTGCAAAAGGATTTGTCACGTAAGCAATAAAGCTCTGGGAAATTTAACAAACTAGTTTTTTCAAGACTCAACAAATGACTATTTGTTGCTATGTTTTTACTTAGAAGCCACTTTTAAAATTCAACATACAGAGAAATAATTGGAAAAATCACAGTGTTGTTCACATCAGTGCACAATTGTAATACAATGTATTTTATAAAGTATCACATTCTTTGAACATATTTGCAAAGTTGCAGAGTTTGCTTATTCAGCTTGTATAAAAGTAAAACCAAAGTTTTGGCTGGGCCTGGTGGCTCATGCCTGTAATCCCAACACTTTAGGAGGCCGAGGCGGGTGGATCACCTGAGGTCAGGAGTTCGAGACCAGCCTGGCCAACATGGCGAAACTCCATCCCTACCAAAAATAAAAAAATTAGCCAGGCAGGGTGGCAGGCGCCTGTAATCCCAGCTCCTCGGAAATATGAGGCAGGAGACTTGCTTGAACCTGGCAGGCAGAGGTTGCAGTCAGCCGAGATCGTGCCACTGCACTCCAGCCTAGGCAAGAGAGCAAGACTCAAAAAAAAAGAAAAGAAAAGAAAATTAAAATAATGTTTAATACATAATCCCAAGTAACTGCAAGAGCAAGAGAAAAGACAATGGTAATGCCAACATGGACAAGTGGTAACAGGCTTAGCACACCTAAAAAGACAAATCCTAAACCAGCAGCAGAGAACTGGAGAACAAACCAATCTATAGTTCAGGATGCTGAAAAGATCCAGGAATTATCAGCACCAAGATAAAGAGTCATTAGTGCTGTTTACCCACCATTTATGGGTTCTCCTCTCGGTATATTATAAGACTGTACATTCTATACCTCTGAAGTAAGGAGTGGCCATGTGACTTACTTTGACCAAGAGATGTAGTCAGTGCTACTTGTGGTGGATGTTTTAAGAGGTGGGGTATATTTTACAAACTTCCCTTTTCTTCTGCCTTGGCAAACATGAAAGCCCAGAGTCAGAGGCTCCCTTAGCTTGGGTCCCTTGATGGATGGCATATCACACAACTTTGTTCTTTTAAGGCAGAGATAATTTGGATTTGCTTATTACCAATATCAATAATCTATCCTGGCATATGCAGTCAGGTATTTCAAAACCGAGGATATGGGAAGAACGGTAAAATAAACAAGACAGAATGACAGCTATATAAAAAAGTTACATGCTTTGTTCCAAGCCCACTCTTCCAGTACTGAACAATTTTCCTCACTCAGCTCCAAGGAGGAGGGCAGTCAGACACTTACTCTCCACAGAAGAGAATGAAAGAATCTTCTGTGGAAAATCTGGCCAGTTTAAGAAGAAAGATATGACAATCTTACTCTCAGAAGTTCTTTAGAAAATTGTGCAGCCACATCATCCAACAGAAAAGCACAAGTTGAATGAGCATCATGGCTTCACACTCACGTTTAGAATTTCCAATCAGCTTCTTAATCACTTCTTCTTAAATCTGAGCAGATGATCTGAGAAAAACCTCTACCACAAAATGTAATGTCAGAAAAGAAAAGTAAAAAGAACTTGGAGAAAATCAAATTATTCAAGGAAAAGTAAACATTTAAAAAATACTATCAACATTCTCAGAGCGGTAAGGAATCTGTTTCATCCATGAAGCAGGAACAAATGCTATAACAAAGTGATATTCGGAGAAAAAAAGCCCACTAAAACAAACAAAAAAAACTTAAATAGAATTTTTTAGATATTAAATTTAAAGATTTCCTAAAAAGCAGAGTAGAAAGAAAAAGAAATAGAAAATAGATAAGAAAGTCAGAAGCATAGTCCAGGAATCTCAATCTCTCAATAAGAGGAGCCTCTGCACCCCACCTATCAAAAAACAAAACAAACAAACAAACAAAACCAAAATACAAAGAAAATTCTCAATTAAATAATTCACAGAAAAAAAACACAAAATCTGAGAACTGAACTATACAACCTTCTAAGGACCTATCAATTGCCCCAGCACAATGGATAGAAATAAACTTACACCACATAAATATTTCACAATAACTGCAGAGAAAGAGAAGATTCTGCAAACTGCCAGGGAGTAAGAAAGGAAAGGAAAAAAAAAAAAAAAAAGTCACTTTACAAAATATTAGGAATGAGAATGGTTTGGGAACTCCCAAACACAAGATTGGAAACTAGAAGATAATGAAGCAATGCATCTGAAGGAAAATTATTTCCAATCTAGAACCTAAACATAACAAAAAAATCAAGTGTGAAGGTGACAAATGTAGACACATAAAGACTCCACAATTTATTTACCATGTCCTCCTTATCAGGGAGCTACGGGGAATTTGTGCTACAAAAATGAGAGAATAAAACATTAATAGAGAAAACCTAGGATTGGGAATAGGGATTCTAATTCAAGAGAGAAAAGGGATCCTCAGAATGACAGTGAACGGGACCCAAGGATAAAA